GTCTGGCAGAGACAAAGGTCGCTGGTTTCCAAACTGATTACTGCCCTGCCCTGAGGAGCTCTCCAGAGAAGGGCTTGGTGGGGGAGAACCGGGGGTGCTGGAGGTGGTCTGGCCTGAAATAGGAATTCCCTGGACCCCTCCTGTACTTTCCACCAATTAGTACAAACTTTCAGTCTTAATTTATATACTAGGCCCCGGGGTACCATTTTATTGAAGGGGATTTTCTCTACTTTAAAACAGTTTGTATAGCAAAAAGCAATTGAACTAGGGACACTCTGTCCTTTGCAGCTGGGGCCCTTAAATTCAGAAGGGTGAAATGACTTCCCCAAGGTCACACACTGTTGTGGCTAAAATCTTTCCTGTTTTCCTCCTTCGAAAGCCCCGCCTGCTGTCTGGCCCCGCCCCGAGCACCTCACGGCGCGGACCTAGCCGTCTCTGCTTTGCCTTCAGGACTCCTTGGTGTGTGCTTTGGAAACAAAACACTGAGCAGGCGTCTGGAGAAGAGCTGAGTGGAGAAGCCGTATTCGCGTGTCCTTTCTCTTCCCACGCGATGAGCCCGCACGGCCCCCTCGCTCTGCTCTGTCTGTGCGTCCCAGGCAGCCCCGCGGAGAACCCGGGCTACCCTGTCACCGCAAAACAGAGCAGCTGCTCTCTGACCCCAGGTTATGTTACTGAAAACCCCCCATTAGGGAAATGGGCATTTAAGGAACTTAGATGGCCTTGGGAGACTGCAGTCACACTTTTTTTTTTTCACCTGTGAAGACACTTTTGTTGTTAATCCTCACCTGAGGGTATATATACATATATTTTCTATGTATCTTCAGATAGAGTGGGAGGGAGAGAGAAGGAGAGAGAGAAATATCTATGTGAGAGGGACACATCGACTGGTTGCCTCCCAAACAACCCAGCCCAGGACCAGGGCCAGGCACGAACCGAAACCGAGGTACGTACCCTTGACTGGAATTGAACCCGAAACTCATTGGTCCGTAAGCCGATGCTCTAACCGCTGAGCCAAACCGATCAGGGGGACATTTCTGTTTTTTAACTTTAAGGACAATAAGCCAATAAAATACACAAGTGAGAATATCAGTGACATTTTGCAGTTAGTTATAATGGCTATGGGGGTAATGTCCATCTTATTATCCCTTGTTTACTAGAAACTTCATTGGGCTTTGCAACAGATGATAGGATTACTAAGAAGCATTTGATTTCTAAAACTATCTCTCCACCTGCCCAAAATGTTCAGTGCCTTCCTGATCTTTTCTCTAAAAAGTTAGCTGTTGATGCCTGTCTCTCCAGTCTGTGCCCAGAGACCCTGCCCTGTGCCCTGGGCCGTCAGCTCTGCACGTTGCCCAGTGCACAGAGATGTGGTTCAGGGAGACTTCAGAGTCTTGGTTTCCTTTCTCTCCGCTTTCTTCCTGCCGTCCACCGTACCTACCACTTCCATTTCTAACCCCCGTTTCTTCTCCCTCTAATTGTTCCCGGTGGGACCAACACAGGAGCTGAAATTCTTGTTCTTTCTGAAGACATGTTGGGGTCACACACACTGAGATTTCCTACAAGGGAACCTTAGATTCTTGTTCTAAAAAAAAAATCAAGTACTTAACTCCTTTATTGGGGTACATATACTAAAGAACCCAAGAATTTGGAGGTAAATAATAGCTCTCAAGCTGTGTAATCACATATGCAGAGACATGCTCGTAAAAATCCTTTGGGCCCTAGCCAGGTTGGCTCAGCGGTTACAGCGTCGGCCTGCAGACCAGAGAGGCCTGGGTTCGGTTCCCGCTAAGGGCTGTACCTCAGTTGCAGTTTGTCCCCGGCCCTGGTTGGGGTCGTTTGGGTGGCAACCACATGATGTGTGTCTATCACGTCGATGTTTCTCTCTCCCTTCCTTCCTCTCTCCCTCTCGCTCTGTCTAAGGAAAAATGCAAAAATGTCTTCGGGTGAGGATAAAAACAAAAGTTAAAATTCCTTTGGGTGTCCTATATATATAGGCTGATATTGAAAATGTGTACATTTGCTTTTTCTGTTCCTGGCAGATTTAGAGAACATTCAGCTGTTCCCCCAAAAAGAGAATTCCTGAGAGATTGTAAAAAGCATGTCTAAAGATATTACTTAGTAATATGGAGCACGAGAGCAGTTTGCTGTCATCCTTGACGATCTTTTCAATTTTTTACTAGGATTAAGTTATTGAACTTGGTCTCGGGTACATCTGCAGGGTAAAGAAATGGTTGTTGCTGAGTGTTTATAATGTCACTAGCACTTGGGAACCATGAAATGACACGAGGGAGGAGGGGGAGCCTTGTCAGTTTGGCAGAAGCGCTCAAGGCTTCAGTGCAGGTGGATGACCAGGTGGACCTGGCAGCCGGCAGGGGAAGTCATCTGTGTGCCAACAGGAGCTCTTCGTAGGGTCTGCCTGAAGGTCGGCCTATCGCATGTACATTTATAAAATGGAACTTGCAGAGATTAGTCCTCAGATTAGGTAATAGAACAGTTTGTCATTTATCTGTTCACAACCCCTTGTCTTTGTTTTGCAAATCCAATCATACTATTATCTTGGCAGAGGAATGAAAGGATACTTCCTGATTTAATTCATTTTGAGCACGGTCATCTCTCCTGCTCGGGCAGATGTATTGCCGGGCTCTCTCATTTGAATTCACGTAGTTCAGAACGAAGGGAGACGAATGTGTAGCTGACAGCCTGGGCTCAGCCCTGACGAGTCACCTTCTCCAAGGTGGTGCCATGCATTGCCTGGCTTGAGGCTGGCGTCTTGAACTTTCTGCGACGGGTTCAGACGAATGCAGATACACCGCTGGAGCTGAGGGTGGTGCCGACTTCGCCCTGAGTCACAGGGCCCTGTGGGGGAGGTAGAGAGATGCTGGAATAAAATCAGGAACCTCTTAGGAGAGAGCAAGGAATGCAGACTTGGTAGGCAGCCAACAGTGTCAAGTACGGTTATATTCTAGCCATTTCCAAGGTCTTTTTATGATTATTATTCCTTAAGTATAACATACTCTTTGCCTTTCAAGGCCTCCAACACAATATTGGTCTTAAAAAATTTATTGCCCCAAATTATTATACTCTTTGGCTCCCCACCCCCTTCCTCACCAGAAAAGGAGCACCTTGAACCCAGGTGTCACGCTTGACTCATCTACACCTTCTTGGCATCCGGCGTAGGTTCTGGGCCATCATTCATTCTGCATACAGAATGAATACCTATAACTTATGCTCTGAGTGCTCCCAGGATTCCAGGACCTCAGAGTTTTTATAAGACAGAACAGAAAATCCAGACCTGCAAGGTTTTGACAGGCTACCTCTTTACCTCCTCGTTCTCGGCGTTGGCGTGTTTCTGTGATTTTATCAAGTCTGTGACTACCATAAATAGCATGTTTTATGTCTCAACTCATCACGAATATACCATAGTTTCAGGCTGTTTACCGTATTTTGAATAGATTGCTTATTCCTGTTTTAACCCCCTTACGTCTTTCCTCCCCGCTGCCTACTCCAGGAGGAGAGGGGGAAAGGCTCAAAAATGGGAGTGCATGGTAGCAGGCCCCCTGTGCGTTTCCTGCTTTCCTCGTAGCGTGACTGTAGTGGACTGACCTTCTTCGCCCCATTTGAAAGGTTAACTAGAGCCTGGCCAGTGTGGCTCGGTGGATTGAGTGCCGTCCCATGACTGAGAGGTCATGGGTTCAATTCCTGATCAGGGCACGTGCCTGGGTTGCAGGCTCGATCCCCAGTAGGGGGCGTGCAGGAGGCAGCCAATTGATATTTCTTTCTCACATCCATGTTTTTATCTCTCTCTCCCTTCCTCTCTCTCTTAAAAAAAAAAATCAAGCCCTGGCCAGTTTGGCTCAGCGGTTAGAGCGTCCGCCTGCGGTCCGGAGAGACCCGGGTTCGGTTCCCGCTAAGGGCATGTACCTCGGTTGCAGTTTGTCCCCGGCCCTGGTTGGTCGTGCGGGTGGCAGCCACTCGATGTGTCCCTTTCACATCGATGTTTCCCTCTCTCTCTCTTCCTCTCTCTTCCTCCCACTCCGTCTGTACAAAAAATGGAAAAATGTCCTCGGGTGAGGATAAAAATAAAAAAATAACAAAATAAAATTTAAAAAAATCAATAAAAACATATATTTTTTAAAAGGGTAAACTAGAAACATTCATCTGCAAGTGATTTTTCTGAAGTCTCTGTTTTAGCAATCTCTGGCTGCTGTAACTCATTATCACAAACTCAGCGGCTTGAAACAACTCAGATCTATTTTGTTACAGCTGTTGGGGTCAGAAGTTCAAAGTGGTTCCTCTTTGGCTAAAATCAAGGCGTCAGCAGGACCGAATTCCTTTCAGGGGAGAAGCTGTTCCTTTACGTTTTCCAGCTTCTAGGAGGCACCGACATTCCTTGGCTCGTGGCCTCTTCCCATGTCCTCAAAGCCAGCAGCATCTTCTAAGTGCTGACTCGAGAGCTTTCTGCCGCCTTCTTCCATTTTCTAAGGATCCTTGTGATTACATTGAGTCCACCATGATAATCCAAGGGAAGCTCTTTATTGGAAAACCATTAAGTACATATCTGCAAAGTTCCTTTTGCTCTGTAAGGTGTAACACATTTACAGGTCCTAAGGATCAGGAAGTGGAAACCTTGGGGGTCATTATTTTGCCTGCACAGTCCCAGACCCAAGCTATGTCCTAGCAGAGTTCGCCCCCTGCCCTTTAGTTTCCAGCCTCCTACACACAGGAAAAGGATTTTGGCTTTTTTGTGTGTCTTCCCTGATATTGCTGTCTCAAATGTTACTTAGTTGATTTCATGAAGAACTAACATTTTCTGGCATTTTGTGGACAAATTGGGCTGCTAGGTGTTCAACAACTACGTACACTGATGGTGATGATACAGTAACAACAGATGGGCGGGGAGGCAACACCTTGGCAACCGAGACCCACGAATTTTTGAGAGGGTCCAATGAACTAGTGACATGTTCCGTGAACTCAGTCTTCTTTTGGTTTTTGTTTTTCAGGCTTATGAACAGAAGTACGTTGTGAAGAATTATTTCTACTATTATCTGTTCAGATTTTCAGCCGCTTTGGGTCAAGAGGTGTTCTTCATCACGTTTCTTCCGTTCACGCACTGGAATATTGACCCTTACTTATCCAGAAGGCTGATCATCATATGGGTCGTAAGTACTACTGTTCCTCACGAGCGCTGCTACCTCTGCAATAGCGACCTGCTTCGGTATTCAAGTGCTTTGCACATTTTTTCTTCCTTAATCACTGAGCGTTGAATTGTTGTCTGGCTCACTTTGGAAAAATAACAGGGACAATTAAAAGGCTGTGAACACAACTTGTTTTGTTTGCAAAATCGGACAAACGTGTAGAGTTTGTGTACTTGGTGTCCACCCCCTGTGGGTGAGTAAAACTAGAAGAGGGGAGAAGTGATGTGCAGGGAAGACGGGACCTTTGGAGAATCCATGAAGGGCCATGAAGCACAACCCCTGAGAGGCCCATTTTAGTACAATTAAATCAACAATGGAAACTGGAAGCTGTTGACTAATAACTCCAAGTAGTAGTAAGCAATACTCGAAACATCAGAGAGACAAAAACGTGTAAGGCAGGCTCCTTCCTAGGGTCCTTCTTCTGTAGGGGGGCAGCTGGTACAGACACAGAAACCCAGTGACAATCCCAGGTAGAGATGGGAGCCCCTTCTGGTGTGTTCCTCAGGACCCTTTGTATAACTTCGTTCAGGAACAAATAAGTTCTATTTTCATTATTGTTATTATCATCATCGGGGGAGATGGTGGATATTTGCGAGACAGCAGGGCCTGCTGCCAGTGTCCGGGGTTTGGGCTCAAAAGCCCTGGGTTCAAGGGCAGCTCCACCGCTCGCCACTACAGTGGTGGTGTTAATGCTCGCATGGTGTTCATGATGCTCATCTCCCAGAGTCATCCTGAAGACGCACGGTGTGCACGGAGCTCGGGCTGGCCCGAGGGAGAATGCTACAGGTGCTGCTTGAGGACGTGGTCATTCGCAGTGCCCCGTCCACGCAGGCAAAGGGGTCCCCAAGATGAACGCATTCTATGGTCAAAGATTGTTTAGCCGAGAAGAGGGAGCTTTAGGGACAGGAATGGTTTCCTAACTCAAGATCCTAAAAACCGAGGTTCAGAGGTGCTTGGCTGTGTGTGAAGGAGTCGGGGTTCTCGGTCGGCTCTGCTCTGAGAAGCGGTGTGATCTTCAGCAAGTGACTGCCCCCTTCCACTCTGGGCTGCTGCTGCTTCTTTTTTTTTTTTTGTAGAACAAGTTAGCGTGGCTTTGATCAGGAGCCATAAACTCAAGTGTCCTTCAAGGCAGGGGAGAGAAGTGAAACAGTGAAGCCCTGGGTGGAGAGAGGTGGCGGGGTTGGGGTGCCCGTGAGTGTCAGTGTGACCACCTGAGGCCCCGGGGAGCCGCTGTCCTGCTCCTCCGGGGACTGGCGTGAGGAACCGACCAGAACCGCCAGACCTGTTTTGCAGGCGCCATCTACCACTGTTCAAATGTAGGCTACAGAGGCAGGAGCACCTGTAATGCTATCAACAATACAGATTTTTTAAAATGGGGGGGAAATGTAGACTTACATTTTATAACATTATATGTGCCCTGGCTGGTTTGGCTCAGTGGTTGGAGCATCGGCCTACAGACCAGAGAGTCCCGGGTTCTGTTCCCGCTAAGGGCACGTGCCAAAAATACATAAATAAATAAAGGAGGAAATTAAAAAAAAAAAAAATTACATGCCTACAGAGCAAGAGTCCTTGAAGTCCAAATGTATGAAGACTGGGTTGCAGCCTCTAGGCCAAAGGACCCTATGGTCCTAGGCTTACCATTAGGGTTATTTGGCCCCGAATGCTTTCTGTTTTCTCTTTTTCTGTCTAAAATTATAGGCCACTTTTTTCTTTCCCTGTTCCTGTCTCCTGGCCAGCCCTTTTCTGAAATCCAGCTTCTGTCTAAAAGTGTGATTCTTATGGATAATTTGCATCTCGTACAAGGTGAATGTCGGGGCCCCCTCCCTGTCTGAATCCAGCTTCTCTACCTGCAGCGCAGTGACAGCCATTGGAGGAGTTGGGGGCGGGGGGCATTCCTTCTGTTCTTAAGATCTGAAAATGCTTGAAAGACCCACAGTACTTGAGTGTCCTTCCATGATTTATTTTCTGAGATACCAAAAAAAAGTTAACTTTTATGGTTGTTGAGTGGGGCAAATGATGTTAATTGTTTATAGTCACCTGGGAATATCTTACAATGTGTATGGTCAGCTCAAGGCCGATTATCTCCCCCAGTGAGGGTGGAAACTGTTCCTGAGGGGCCTGGATGATGGGAGGCAGTGGTCAAGGGCTCTCTGATTGTCATTATCAGTTGTTATTTTCCGCTTTGGAGTCCTCATTTCAAAGTGCAAAGGATTTCCTGTTTGAGATAGAATTACCAGTCTTTTGTCCTGAGAAAGGAAAGCACAATTTTCGAGTATGCAGTTTGTCCTGAGCTTTGGTGGCTCGTGACTTTAAAATGGGTGTGTGATGCCCGGCCAGTGTGGCTCAGTGGATTGAGCATTGCCCCATAGGCTGACAGGTCCCATTTCGATTCCCCATCAGGGTACATGCCTGGGTTGCAAGCTCGATCCCCAGTAGGGGGCGTGCAGGAGGCAGCCGATCAGTGTTTCTATCTCTCTTTCCCTTCCTCTCTTGCTAAAACATAAAAAATAAAAATGGGTGCACGGGCAGGTCCAGCAGGCACCCGGGCCGAGAGTTAAATTTTCTGTATGTTCAGCTGTATCTGTAAAGCACTGTGTGTGTGGTCCTGGCAGGTCCTGGTGGAGAGCATGGAGGCCAGGGGGTGGGGAGATAGATAGTTATGGAGTGGGGGTGAGGAAGGGAGAGGGAGGGAGGGAGGCTGACTGGTAGGAAGGGAGGATCTTCTGCACTTCAGAGATAATGATGAGAGATGCTTGGCTTGGCCCCGGGTTGGAGGTGGACAAAGGTAAGGGAAATTCCTGGTGGTGGTAGGGTTGGAAGGGAAGCAGAGGTGGACCGGGGTGAGGCTCTTGTCAGCGTCCCCCTGAGAGGCAGCCTCTCTCCTGGAAGGGCTGTCCTTGAATGGTGGCTGCCTCCTCAAGGGGGGAAGAGGAAGAGATACATAAGGGGCTGAGCTTTAAGTCTTATACGTGGAAACAGCAAATCTCACCCAGCCGTCTTCAGAAGGCAGCTGCATTCAGGAGCCCCAAACCTCTAGTCAGATTTTATATTACTTTTACAGCTGTCACTGGATGAAGTCCCAACATGTTTCATTGCTTTTGAAATCATTTGTTACATTAGGGGTGACTCATACTGAAGCAGCTCAGCAGAACGCATGGTTTGCTAACGGCTTTCTCATCACAGTCCTCCTTGTTTGTCCCCGTGGTGCCAGATGCGTTCACTGGTGTCTATGTTTATTATCTTTTTTTCATGACCCTATTTGATCTTCATAACTGGGTTAATCTCATTTTCATCATTTTACAGATTCAGACTGTAATACTTCAAATAATAATAAGCCATGTCATGTGTTGGGCCCTTAGTGTATATACCTTTCACTGTCATAGGGCTTTTCTATGTTTTACCTCATTTAATCCTGCCAGCGATCCTGAGAAGTGGTTATTGCCAGCCCATTTCACAGGTCAGGAAACTGGCATGTGGAAAGGTTAAATAACTTGTCCAGGATCGCGCTGGGTTAAGCAGAGAAGTGGACTTCTGTGCTAGAAGGGCTGTCAGCGTTGATGCTTAGAAAAACAGCCAGAGGACGTGAAGAGCATTCATAGTGGTTCTTTTTTTTTAAAGAGATGTTAAAGCTGAAGCTTGAAGCATAAAATGGTGTGCATAATTTTTCTATTGCTTATTTGCTGTGGTTGTGTTTCAGGTTGGCCGGAAGGCATTTATTAACTCTGTATTCTACATAAGTGTCTTTTATGTTTACCTTTCTAAAATTTAGATAAGCCTTTGGTAAATTAGCTGAAAGACATCAGATCAGGTTGTTATTTCTTTCATCTGTCACTTATCAAAGTTTTTAACCTGTCATGGGTTAGATTCAACTCAATCTTCAACTTTGGGGCAGAGAGTTGGTGAATGGATCATCTAATCAGATGCCCATAAACAGATACTGTTGACAGTGCTTCAGAAAGGCCCAAGGTCCCCTGTGTGACTGTCTGATTCTTCACTTCCATTTGTGGCCTGGTGACAGCCCCATCAAAAATTAAAACAAAGGTTTTAAAATAGTATTGCTGCCCTGGCCGAGTGGCTCAGCTGGTTAGGGCACTGTCCAATCCAGCAAGGTTGTGAGTTCATCCTGGTCAGGGCACATGCAAGACTCAGCCGGTGAATATGTCGATAAGTGGAACAACAACATCGATGTTTCTCTCTCTCCTTTCCTTTCTCTCCCAAATCAATAATTCTTTTAATTAAAAAAATAATATTACTGTATCTTAAAAAGTTTAGAATCACTTTCATTGAAACTGTATGATGTTCTCCTGGCCAGTGTGGCTCAGTGGTTGAGCATCGACCCATGCACCAAGAGGTCACTGGTTAGATTCCTGGTCAGGGCACATGCCCAGGTTGTGGGCCAAATCCCCAGTAGGGGGCATGCAGGAGGTAGCCAGTCAATGTTCTCTCTCATCGATGTTTCTGTCTCTCTCTCTCCCTCTCCTTTCCTCTCTCTCTCAAATCAATAAGAAAATAAATAAAAAAATAAAAAGAAACTGTACAATGTTCAGCTTTGTAAAACTAGGCAGAATTCACCTTTGGTTACATAAGTTTATTCTCCATTTTGTAAAATAGCATTGCAAATACTGATAGCACAGTTGATCCTTAGAAGGCTCATTTTCTCTGTCAATATGATATTTTACTTGCTTATGTTCTGCCTCTTTGCACAGATATTTCATGACATTGAAGATGTACAAAAAAATGGGGAAAGTAGATCAACTCAAAATTAAGAGGCATACAGATAAAACAGGAATTTAAGGTCTAGTTTAAAGGTAAATGTAGCTTGCTGATTCCAAGTTGAGCCACAGATTTGTCTTTGAACTTTGCCTTCACCAAAACAAAACAAAATTATATTCTTCAGAGTATTTGAGGTCTTGCTCTCCAACATATGTGTCAGTTTGGCTCAAATAAACTCATAAAAATTATTC